TGTGGGTGACACTGTGACCAACAATGACCGAAGAGGGACAGGTCCATCCCCAAACGGTGCCGCCCAAGGAGCTGGGCCCCTGAAGTCCCTGACCCGCAGCCCATCTCCAAGGCACCTTCTAACGCGGGCGCCCGGGCAGGAGCTGGCGTTTGCCCACCTTTCTCCAAACGGGCGCCCGAGAGCCCCCGTCAGTGGGCACCGAGGGGGACTGTGGGGAGCAGTTCATGGCCTTGAACTTATTGTTGAGGAGTCAGCAGAGTCCACGAGGAAAGGACTCACTTTTGCTGTCAATGTCGACTCGTTCATTTCCTAGGAGACTCATTCAGTGCCCCTTCCCTCAGCCATGTCAGGCCTGCTTTTCTTCTTTCTCCTCCTCCTCTTCCTCCCCCTCCCCTCCCCTCCCCCTCCTTCCCCTCTTCCTCCTCTCCAGACTCACGTCTACAACCCTGACATGTATGTTGTGCCTCCACGCACTTGCTCCAGCTGCACCCTCCCCCTCCTTGGCCTTGCAGGTTAAGCATCACCCCGTCCCTGACTGTGCCCTCTGCACGCCCAGCAGACATGAGCCACCGTGTCCCTTACCTGTGCCCCACGGCACCCTGTGCTGCTCCCTCAGAGCTCTCATCACACGACCTGGTAATTATCTGCTCTCGTCTCTCCCCCTCGAGGTGGGGAGCGTTCCCCGGGGGACATCCCGATCAGCAGGGAGTCCCCCCTTCTCCTCCTCCCCATCTTCCTCTTTCTCCTCCTCCTCTCCCTCCTCCCTGTCCTCCTCTTCTCCTTCATATTTCTCTGAGATGAATTGGGATAGAGATTAAGAACATAGGGCTCTAGCCTCAGCAAGGCACGGCTTCTAGACCTATTTCCATCACAGTTTTTTTGATTTTGTGTAAGTCACTACACTTTGCTGAACTGCAGTGTTTGGTGAGATGTGTGAGATGATTGGCAGCTGTAAGACTCGCGTTAGCCCTGTGCAGACGAGGCGTCGCCATGGTGCTTCCTGCAGATTCCGTCTCAGCTGTCCCTGCACCTGCATCTCACCCGTTACCCGCTGTCGAGGCCGAGGCACAGGACCAGTGATCAGGGGCAACGAGGGACCAGTTAGCCGGCTGGCGGCTGTGGTGTCCCTGCTCCCCCTTGTCCCTGACCTGACCTTTACTTCGTTTCTGCGCTCCCAGATCTGCCCCAGGTGGGCCAGGTGGGCCAGGTGGCGAGAGGGCACGGCTCTCCCTCTGCGCTCCCAGATCTGCCCCAGGTGGGCCAGGTGGCGAGAGGGCACGGCTCTCCCTCCGCGTTTCTTGAGGCAGGGAGTGGGGAGGTCTGTGATGCGGAGCAGGGGCAGCCGCTTCTGGGAGAAACCTGGTCGGGAAGAGCAGGATGTGTTCCATAAACACCAAAACTCTCGTCCCCTGGAGCGAGGGCTGCATAGTGGGAAGTGACCGGCCATTCCCCGAGCCTCTCTGACCCAGGAGGACCATGTTGTTATACCCATTTTACGGACGTGGACAGTGGGCTCAGGGAGGGTAACTTGCCTCAAATGGCAGCCAACAAATAGCATTAAAAAGGGACTCAGCACGTTTGGAGGTGGGTCCCCGTCATAAAAGAGAAGCCCGGCCCGGCCGGTGTGGCTCAGTGGTTGAGCATCGACCTATGAACCAGGAGGTCACGGTTCGATTCCGGTCAAGGACACAGGCCCGGATGGTGGGCTCAATACCTGGTGTGGGGTGTGCAGGAGGCAGCCGGTCCATGATTCTCTCTCTCATCGTTGATGTTTTACCCGTCTTTCCCTCTCCCTTCCTCTCTGACATCAATAAAAACATTTAAAAAAATAAGAGACACACGAATGCTCCTGAGAGCAGTGTCCCGATGGCTGTGGGGAGTGACGCAGGAAGGTCACTTCTGATATGTTTTTAGAGGAAGAAAGAGGGGACGTAGAGGTAAATTTCATTTGATGGTGAACGACTTCCAAGGGGCTCTTGAAGCAGGTGTTTCTGGGCAAGTATGTGCTGAGCTAAATTAGTAAAAACATTCTTGCAGAAGGATAAATTGATGAGAGTCACAAAGTGATAGCAGCAATAATGGCGACCAGACGGCTGCTCCTAAGAAACGTGAAACCTGCGCTCAAACCTGACCCGGTTCCCGGTGGAGAACACCGCGGTCTGTTTGACGCTCGGCCTTGTTGGCCTGACAGTGCCAGGTCCTGGCTGAGGTCACATGACGATTAATATTAATATTAATATTAATGATAAAGAATTGGCAGTCTGCCAGGTGTCATGCCAAGTCTCTACCTGTATCCATATCTGTATCCATATCGATAGCCCTATTTATACCTGTATCTATACTTTTGATTTTATGCACCTGGAAACCTAGTGTGGATTAAAGAATTCACATCTCTAATGCTTAGTAAGCAGGAAACAGAGATTTAAAAAAGCCTTTGATGTGTTTCAAAGCGATGTGATGCTCTCATGAGAAGCTAGGCATCCAGACCTTTAAAGAAAGTTGTTTGATATATTATTAACGTGGGTTGGCAGCCTTATAGCACTTACTTTATTTCTATAAATAAAACATTAATCTCAATTTGGATTTAAAATGAAAGTGCCCGAAGTCCTTCTGTGCATCAGTTAAATTTGGGGCAATATTTCATATAGAAAGTGTTTGCTTTGATAGGAGAGTATCAGGGAGACCGTTCTATGTTGAGATTTAAATGAAGAGAGTACACCCCAGGCCCAGGGCGATGTCCCTTCACTGGCCTGGAGCCCAGGACACAGGGCTCGCTATTCTCTGTGATTCGGAGGAGGAATGAGGGGAGCGTCAGCCACTGTGGGCCGATCGTGCGCGCACACACACACACACACACACCCACCCACCATTACCCCTTTTGTCCGACTTGTGGTGACGGAATGGAAGCTAAGCTTGATCATATTAAGCATTTATTATTGTTATTATTACTGGTTATTTCCTAGGCCCCCGGCTGTGGGATAAATGACTGATGTCTGATCCCTTTACTGGCATCTAGTTCCCGGGACAGGGAGTATCACGCCCATTTGGCAGAAGGGAAAACTGTGTCTCAAAGAGGCCACGCTGATGCTCCACGTTCACCACCTGAAGAGCCGACGAGCTTCCGTGCAGGCCTGTCCACTGCATGTCGCACTGACCGCTGTGTCCTCAGCGGTCAGGGCCTTCAGAGGCGAATGTCCCCAGGAACGTGTGTGCGTGAGCCTGGGCGCGTGGCCACGGCCCTCACCCGCTGGCCTGTGAGTGTGTGTGTCCCTGAGGGGCGGTCTCCGGCCACCAGCTCGGGCCAAACTGCCGACAGGACCAGCTGCAGGGTCTGGGGGGCCGTGCAGTCCTGCGGGCTCCTGGTCGGAGATGGTGAGGAGTTGCAGACGCTGTGGGCGGAGCATGCCACCTGCCTGGGCCCACCTGACCCAAGGGCCCCGTGGACTGAGCTGGCGGGAGACCCTGGGGCGGCTGCCCCCGAGGGACGTGCAGGTAGATGGGACGGAGTCTGAGCAGGTGGCCCTTGGGCTCCTGGCTGGGATGGGAAGGAAGTGGGTGTCCCCCGAGCTGGCTCCCCCGGGGTCTCCTCTGTGTGGATTGGGTCTCCTGGCCCAGCCCCCGATTGTGCCTGGGATGGGGGCCCCGGTGGGGGGAGTCCGGCCGGGATGCCGTCCAGAACAGGGGCTCAGACGCTGGTGTGCACACCTCGTCTGGTTTAGACGGAGTTTTCACCTCTCGGATGTAAAACAGGAAATAAGGACACAGCAGCGAGGACTTCTTAGTGTTTGTTTTTATCTGCAAAGTACGTTTATCCAACAAATGGACTCGCCTCTGGCCCAGGGTCCGCTTGTCTTGTGAATCGGGTGTTAAGTGTTCTCTGTCATGAGGTGCTGGTGACACGATTCCAGAATTTGGGGAAAACTGCTGGAGCTCGAGACGGCCAAGCGTGTGTGCCGTGGGGGTCAGGGGCCAGGGGGGAGGAAGGCAGGGGCGCGGGCGGCGGGACACCCCTGCCTCTGCACCAGAGGATGGTCCAGTCGCCGCTCAGCACCTCCGGCCGCGCGGGTCCAGCTACTGCGGAGCAGGGAGGGTCCGCATGGCAGCCCCAGGGTCCCACTTCCTTGGTTCAGGGGGAAACGCAGCGAAGACGGTGGTTTAAGGAACAGAACAGCCGGCAACTGCTCAGAGGCCCAGATGCCGTCCTGGGCACAGGGCGGAGGGTGCCGTGGTGGGTGCAACAAGCGAGCTCTATTTTAAGAGCCGTTGACTCAGTCCATCGCGTCGGCCCACGGGCAGCGGACATCTGCTTGTGAAACACTCCTCTTTATTCTCTCCTTCGTGCTTCACCCTCAGCAGTTTCCTGGGCCCCTGGCGTGTCCCGCAAGCCCACGGCACCCATTCGAAACGGAAGCCTAGGACTATTTCCTCAACACATGAAACTATGATAACGCGACTGGCCGATGTAGCCGAGAGCCCCTCTCGCGGCATTCAGGCAATATTTGGCAAATAAATAAATTTTTTTTAAAAATATGTTTTTATTGATTTCAGAGAGGAAGGGAGAGGGAGAGAGAAACATCAATGATGAGAATCAGGTAAATAAATAAACGTTAATCAAATATACTTGCATCCGATTTTGTTACATTCTAAATAAACCCGGGAGCTGCTTTTCTTTTTTTTATAAAAAGGGAAGTTGGCCGGGGGTGGGGGAGGCCGGCGTGGCTACTGTACAGCCACCTTGGCTTCCGGAATCGCGACTGGGCTCGCCGCTCTCAGGAGCCGGTCCAGCGCCGCCGTCCAAGGTCTCCCAGCTCAGCCAAGTGTCCGCGCAGCTGTGTCCCCGGGGCTGAGTCATCGCCCTCCTCCCGGCCGGCCCGGCCTGTGACTCATCGTTCTGCTTTTAGCATATTTGCCTATTTTTAAGACCAGTTGGAGAAGACAGCCACTGTTTGAAAGTAAACAGGCCACACATCACCGCGGGGCGCAGGGAGCGGCTCCAGGCCCTGGCGCTGCCGGCGGCCGGGTGCCAAGGCAGCAGATGGCCCGGGAGGCACCGGCTGGCTCGCCTCCTCACATCTGTCTTGGGTTTTCTCGTTGCCGCGGCCACTTCCTGCTTGGAGTAATCCAACTTGATGCACTTTGGAAACTAAAGCCTGACTTTTGTTCTGCTTGTAAATTACCAATTCTGTGTTTATTTCTCCGTCAACTAATCGGGCTTCCCGAGCGACTCGAGGTTGAGCCTCTACTTGCTGCCAGCTCGTCAGCGAGGTCCCGCAGACGTGCCGTGCGCTGTGGCTGAGCCAGGACGTAGATTTCTGTCAGGGGCTTCGCCAATTCTGAGGCACACTGGGAATTTGCTATTTTCTTGGCTATAAAAGTGAATTCTTTTCCCCCCAAAATGTTTGTTTTTATTGATTTTTCTGTTCTTTTAGGGGGGGGGAGAGATAAAACATTAATGAGAGAGAATCATTGGTTGGCTGCCTCCTGCACGCCCCACCCTGGGGATGGAGCCCACAACCCTGGCATGAACCCTGACCAGGAATCGAATCGTGACCTCCTGGTTCATAGGTGGATGCTCCACCACTGAGCCACACCAGCTGGGCTGTTCTTTCTGTTAATCCTCATCAGAGGATATTTTTCCAATTAATTTTTTAGAGAGAGTGAAAGGGAGAGAGGAAGGGGAGAGAGAAAACATTGATATGAGAGAGACACATTGATTGGTTGATTCCCAGGGCCCGGCATCAAACCTGCAGCCCAGGTACGTGTGCTTGTCTGGGAATCGAACCCTCCACCCCTCTGGCTGACACTAACCACTGAGCCACCAGCCAGGCCAGAGCCCTTCTTCACTGGGGAACCATCAGAGGCGTTTGCGAAATGCTGGTGTCGGCCCCGTGGCTGGATCCTTGTGTGTGTGTGCTGCCGTGAGTGCTGCCGTCCTCTGCGTCCTGTCGGTCTCCAGCGAGAGGGAGTGACGAGCGGGGTGTCCTGTCCGTCTCCAGCGAGAGGCAGCGACGAGCGGGGTGTCCTGCCGTTGGCCCAGCCGCCGGGAGAGAAAGGGCCCAGAGTGAAAGTCTGATTTCCCTTCCAGATGGCGCCCCCACGGAGGACCCCGCGCTGCTCTTCCCGGAACTAGACCAGCAGCTGCAGGTGAGGGCTCTCCCGCATCCTCCTTCCTTCTCGGCTTCAACACAGAGCTGGGCAGTGGCCTGGGAGGCAGACAGAGGGCCAGGCCCTGGCGCACGGCCCTGCCTGTGACCCTCAGCGCAAAGGGGCGGCTCTTGTGCTGGGGGGAGAGGAGAGACCCTGGGCCTGGAACTCGTAGTCCACTCCCCTCTGTCTGGGCCACACAGCGGCCTGGCTGGGCTGGTGACTTAGTAAACGACGGTGCCGGGGAGGCGACCTCAGCATCCTCGTCCTCGCTCTGCCCTCCCGCCTTCCCGGGTCTCTGACGGCTTCCAATAGATCAGAACATCGTTACTAAGTGAAGCCTTAGAACCCTGTCTGGTGTGACCCTGAGGACGATGTTGTGGTCACAGTCAAGGAGGCTCCATCGGAGACGCCCAGTTCAATGCGCTGAGTGGTTGGAAAGACGCTGACTTAGGGCACTTTGCTTCTCTCTAGGCCAGCGGTTCTCAACCTGTGGGTCGCGACCCCTTTGGGGGTCGAACGACCCTTTCACAGGGGTCGCCTAAGACCATCAGAAAACACATATATAATTACATACTGTTTTTGTGATTCATCACTATGCTTTAATTATGTTCAATTTGTCACAATGAAATTGGGGGTCACCACAACGTGAGGAACTGTATTAAAGGGTCGCGGCATCAGGAAGGTTGAGAACCACTGCTCTAGACGATAGGGGGGGACTCCAGGCAAATTCGGCTCTGGGATAAGGTTTGGCCTAGAAAGCCTGGACGCTGGCCTCGGGCCAGATGTCCACATCACAGGTCACAACACAGGTCATAGGTCATAGGTGATTACACAGGTCGAAGGTCATTGCACAGGTCGCAGGTCATTGCACAGGTCGCAGGTCATCGTACACGTCACAGGTCATTGCACAGGTCGAGGTCATTACATGGGATGCAGGTCATTGCACAGGTCGAGGTCATTGCACAGGTTGCAGGCCATCGCACAGGTCACTACGAGGCCGCCCAGGCTCACATCTGCACGTGGACATCTGCTCAGTCACCATGTGCTTTCCCCTAAACGTTGTGTCTGGAAGCCCTTGGAGGGGCTGCAAACTCCAGTTCCCAGCAGACCCGGCGTTTCCTCGCACCCAGCACCGTCCCCACTGTGGCTGCCTGGTCCCGGGAGGCACTGGAGTTGGGGACCCATCGCCCTCGGCAGCAGGAAGAACAAGGGTGGGCCCGTGTCACACCTGGTGTCCCCTTTCTCGGCCGCTCTCGCCTCGGAGCCTGTGCCCCGAGCTGGGAACCTGGACGCTGGCGGGCCCTGCGGGGCCCCTGAAGGAGCCTCACCTCCCGCCCAGCCCCGCAGGGTCTCTGCCCAGCAGGAAGCGCTCCGCAGGGCCCTGTCGGGGGTAGAGACGCCGCAGGTCGCCAGGACGTGGGGGGCACACCAGGGGTCGCACACTCGCTGTCGGAAGACTTCTCTGTTCTCGAGAGCTTCCCTGCACCCAGCGCCCGCCTCCCTCTCCTCCTCGTCCCCGGGGGATCTGCTGCCCCCGCTGCTTCCTGGTGTCCACACATCCCCCCCTTCCTCTCTTTTCACCGGCTCCGTCTGCGTTTCCATCCGCGTGCTCACACGGCACAGGCTCCTGCGGGGCCTCGGGCTGTGTCAGCTGCTGGCGGTCGGGCTGGGGCTGCACGATCATAACCATCTACTGGTCCCCGCCACCGTCTTTTCTGCTTTATTTCACTGTCACCCAAAGCTGTTTTATTGGCCGGCTGGTGTTTCTCAGTGGTTAGAGCATTGGCCCCTGGACCAGAGGGTTGTGGGTTCAATTCCCGGTCAAGGGCAGGTACCTGGGTTGCAGGTTCGATCCCCAGCCCCGGTCGGGGTGTGCGGGAGGCAACCAATCGTGTCGCTCTCACGAGATGCTTCTCTCTCTCTCTCCCCCTCCTCCTTCCCTTCCACTCTCTCTGAAAATCAATGGAGAAATGTCCTTGGGTGAGGATTAACCAAAGAAATGCAAAAAGAAACAGGAATGATGCCAGCCCTGCCGCCCGAATGCCCTCAGCTTTGGTGCCACCTGTACAGGAGCTGCCGGGCAAGGGTGATCCCCACCCACGCTCCCCTGTGAGCCTTGCCACAACCGTGTAGCCGACTGTTATGTCCACTGAGAAGGGTGAGGTGCCATTTTGGTCTAGATGCAGTCGCCAGTTCAGACAGCGATTCTGCTGTGGGTAGACTCCCTTCCCGTCACCTGCTGTGGAGCCTGTGGCAGCTCACCTAGCTTCGATGGGTGTAGGATTGTTTTGCTTCTGGTTTGCAAGGTCGTCATGGGGGGGGGGGGTCATAGAACAACCTCATAAAATCTGCTCTGGCTTTCCGATAGCGGTTACACATTCCGTGGCCACTTACAAAATATCTGTGTGGTGGAGGCTCTACCACCAGTTTGACCCCAGGGTTTTTCTGTCGCTTTGCCAAGAATGTGGACATGCTGGAGCATGAAATTCGTGGTGCTGCTATTTTCACAGGAGCCCAAAACAGCCCCGGGCAAGAATAGCAGTGACCCACACTGCTCTTGATGTCTCTATTAATGCAGAATGTTGGGCAAGAGAGCTTGGGGCACGGTAGGTGTTAAAATGAACATCCCTTCAAGACAGTCATTTATGGGCCGTGGGCCTCAGCCCAGGGGCAGGTGGTAGGTTGGTTCTATTTTGTGTGGATTCCTTTCCTGGAAATGGGTTTCTAAATTCTCCGTGCCCCTCAGAGGCCGCGTGTGGGCAGAGCGAGTTTAGACCATGCAGGGCCCAGCTTATGTCCACTTGTAAGAATGAATGAAACGTCTTTAGGCCCCTGTGTCCTTCCATTTGGAAAAGGTCAGGACCTTTTCTCTCTTTAGAAAGATAGGACAGGAATTTAACTGGGTCAGGACTGAATTTGTCTTCACATCTAATGACGTTGCTACGTTTTGGAGACCCCGGTATGGCCTATAGACGCTCCAGAGCCAGGCTGCAATGTGGTCTTGATTATTAGCACTGGACTGAGGAACCTGTTTCTGTACTCGGGCATCGGCCAAGCTAACGAGTGGTTGCTGATGGGAATCACAGGGACCGGTAGGAAGCGGGCTTGGCGTTGGATTGGCCAGAATTGGCGCGCAGCTCCACACCCAGCAGTTCTGTGATCCTGGGAATGAATGCTATTCGCTCTCTCTAAGCCTCACTTCTCTGCACTGCAACGTGGAGATAATGCCTCGCCCGCGTCACTGTTGTGGGATGAACTGTGAGAGCGAGCAGCGCTGGCACAGTGCTCGGCAAAACGATCGCTCAGTCCATGTTAATGCTCTTCCCTGGTGAGCCGTTTGCTGAGCGAAGCAGTGAAGGAGGCACAATTCTGTGTCAGATGCAATAAGAGGAGCATCTCTCCGGAGCTTTGAGTTGGGATAGAGTTCGGAGGCCGTCGTCTTGTCTTCATGAAGTTAAGGGACTTGAAAACAAGGCGACTTTTTTTAAAGCAAATTGAGCAATAGCCTCCCCCCTCCGCCACCCCCACCCCAAGTCTCCCGTCGAATCTGAGCCGAAGGGACAGGTGTCTCGGTACACACTGAACTGGCCTCTCCTCGGACAGTGTCTGGTCAGTGCAGAGCTGAGGTCAGCTCCACGAATAAACAGTGCGTAGCTCGAGCTATGCACTAGCACATCTCGTTATCCGAGCAGTCCCTCCGGACACTTCCTTTAGGTCTTGCATCAACAGATCCCTGTGGCTGGGAAGGAAACTAGGAAAGGGAAAGGAAGCCAGCCTTCCAGGGTTCTCCGCCATCCGGCGGGAACGGCTGCTTTTCCCCCTCAAACATGTTGAAAAGTCCCCTGCAGTGTCTCTGGCTGCTGTGGCCACAGAGGAAACATAGATAGATCTTTGGAGCTTTCGAATGGTACCTTTTCTTCTTCTTTTCTTTTCAGAAACCCAGGGGTCACTAGGGTGTGCCTTGTAGGAGAAGTTTGAGACACCCTGGAGTTGTCACCCTTCGCATTGCTTATGTCAACGGGAATGACTTACATACTCTTCCTTCCAGTGTTAGATAAGGCATAAGAGACGCCGCACATCTACTGGTGCCGACGTTGACCATCATGCAGATACTATAAAATGTCAGTTCTTAAAATGTTTTAAAAATAATTAAAATTCTAGATAACAGCATTTTCAAATATTGCAATGAGTGCTGAGTATTTTTTCCATTTAGTTTTAACAAATTATGCTTGTTAATTTGGGGTCATTAAAGTGCAACATGGCCTTAGCCATGTGTGGTTCAGTGGACAGAGCGCCTGCCTGTGGACTGAAGGGTCCAGGGTTTGATTCTGGTCAATGGCTTGGTCCCCAGTAGGGGGCGTGCAGGAGGCAGCTAATCAGTGATGCTCTCTCATCACTGATGTTGCAATCTCTCCCTCTCCCTTCCTCTCTGAAATCAATAAAAATATATTTTAAAAAAATAAAGTGCAACATAAATTTAAACCACTCTGCTCCCCTCCCCTCCCCCCCAATGAAAGGTAACATCGAGAATTAAGGAATAAATACAAAGTCTGCTGGGCAACCATAGAATATTTAGCTTCCTAAATATATCTCGTGTGTGGAAGCTGGAGAGGAAAATTAACTTCTTACGTTGTCAAGGTGGACGGGCCAGCAGGACTTGAAGGAGCCAAGGAGAAAACGGAAACGCTGAGGCTGGCTCTGCCCCCGTGGAGAGGTTTGGCCGGGCCTGTCCCACGGGGCCCTGTCCAGGGACCGGGGCCATTTCAGGAGGAGCTTGCCCACACCGTGGCCGGCGGACAGCGAGATGGGGTGGCGTGGCAGGGCTGGCACTCCTGCACCAGGAGCCTGCGGTTTCTCGGTTACTTCATCTCGTTAAATCGGTCCGGTGAGTGGGTGGGGACCAGAGTGAGGCTCACCGCACCGCGTGTAATTCAAGCCCTTGGGAGCTCGTCCCAGCAGCTGGGAGGCGGGGGTGGGAGGGCCGGAGGAAGTGCCCT